TTCGTATAGACCAGAAGTTCTTAAACTTATGTAGAACACGGAACTTAATAAAAGACCACAAGAAATTACGGGTCCCCTTTATTAACATCAAATAACTTTTCCCTTTTATAAAACATCTCATATGATTATCATAATCAATATTTGAATATTGATAGTTCCATGGACCCCTAGCATAAGTGTCAGGATTCCAAAGGAGATCGCAGACTACAGTTCAAGGACCACTGGTATAGACCTATCATAAGCTTTATTCCAACATTTTATAGCATATTTGAAAAAATACTATTCTACAGACTCCAGATTCTGATTTTTTGAATAACATTATACCTTATACCGAGTTTAATTTAAATAAAAACACTTGACTTTACAGCAATATGATGGAAACAATATCCAGTTCATTTGAAAACAAAAATAATTATATACAGATTTTTTTCTAAAAGTTTTCCAAGCCTTTGATGGTCGGGTACTCGAATGAGGCATGCTAAAGCTACCGTACAAAGTTAAAATGTGTTACTCGCAACCAACTTTGTTGATAAATAAATAATAATTAACAAATCACACTTTTACTTATTCACCTTATAACTATCAACTGTTTAATATCGTACACTGTTAAAATAGTAATTATTTAAGTAAGTATAGCCTCCTTTCCTTTAATCATTTCTCGCTCATATCTTAACGATCYTCTATACGTCCCAATAAGATATACATATAGTGATGATTTTATTTCGAGTTATGATGTATATTACTTACCATAGAAGAAATATGCTGTGATAATATTTAATTTAAATTCCAATAACTAAATGTAAAATATACATTTTTAAATAATTTATACAATATAGGCTTTTATAAAATTCAAATATAACAAATTAATGGTGATTACTGATATGTCAGTATATATTAAGTGTAATACAATTTAATATTGTTACTAGTATTAACTTTAAAATGACTTATTTGTCATCAGGTTAACCAAACTATTTTGATAATAATAACAAAATTCTTGCTATAATAGATGATTTGCAATTAAACTTATATGTTTTCTGAATTTTATTTTACATCATTCGACATTTAAGTAATAATATTATACTGATATTAATCATATAATTTACATAAATATATAATATGTATATAAATATATGTATAATATTATTTTAATCAAACTGAAAAAAAATAACAACAATAATAACAACCGACTCATTTGACATTTAACTTTAGCACATATAATTAACTATGGGTATGTAGGTTTATAATTATATCAAAATGTAATTTACAGCCAAAACGCTAATTTACCAAACTCATGCCTTACTAATGCCTAATCTACCACTAACCATGGCTTACGTGCAATAACTACTGTCACATTATCATTATCATTTACAAAATTGTTGAAAGTCAAAAACGTAATTTTGTACAAACATTTCACAGTTGTATACCTACTAATAACAAAATATTAATTGCAATAGAAATAGAAATATTTCTAATGATAGTAATCAGTAATAATAAATAATAATACTAATAAGTAATAACAATAAATTAATAACGAACGGTTCGACGGCTATTTGAGTGGCACTTGAAAAAAATAATTTATGCACCATCTGMAAGTCATTCTCCGAAATACCTGTCATTAATAATGAATGATAGGCTTGTCATTCATTCAGTAGCTGGCAAATATATAAAAAAAAATTACTTTTTGGCCGGATAACTGATTAGTACCTAGTATAAATGAACGCATTCATTGACTAATATTTAAAAAAAAATACTCCTTTAAAATTGAAAACATATCAAATTATAACGGATAGCAATCCATAAATAATTGTTCTACAAGTGTCTTGATTTGGAATTAAATATATATATATATATATATATGTAAAATTATATCAATTTTTACATACATTAAGGAATCTGCTTACATAAATTATTATATACCTGCCAGTAATATATTTAAAAATAGTAAATTTACTATAAGTTATAACATTTAACGTTTTAACTAATTTCACATTCAAGAATATATAATATACAAATTATATCTTCAACAGTTTCCTTAGATCGATTCATTTTTTCTCTTGTCATTTAAGTTGTTATAAGGACTTTACTAATAATACCTATCATAAAAAYATAATTCCATATAAATTAGTTATGTTTTATTATGAAGAAAGCTATAAAAAAGCTTTGCTGACATAAAATTATATTGTGTATCTACATATTTATTATAATATCCAGTGTTATTTTTTATGAATAAGTATAATTTAAATATTGTTGCTCAACATTATATTTTAAAATAACATTATGTGTTAATAGGTGTAATTCATGGACAATGGTAAGGAGGCATTTTTCTTTTTGATGAGAATATTCTCGTGAGAAGTAATTTATTGAGTAACATTTTCTAATAGATGTTTCTAGAAAAATTCTTGATATTTTTTTCTTCTAAATTATTTATTAATTACTTATAAGCCTATGTATTATTTTTAAGACCTACTGCATGCTTTAACAGTTTAACGTATAGAATTATTATTAAATTCAATTATTTTACAAAGTCATTGTTTTAATATCTAATTGAAAGTATTTATTTTATTTTTCAATTAATATCATATTTTTTGTAATAATATTTACAGTCTAGGCTCTAAAATTTACAACATAATTGTGATTTTTTTGTTGCACCTATCTACGAGGAATATTATAGCTATATAATATATTCATTATGGGTAACAATTATGTGCATTGTTTCATATAGTGTGCAATTGGTTCACAGAACAAGCCGAGTATTAATTTGTTAAATAGCTGATACACCTACACCGTGTGTATCGTCATTACATTATAATTATAATATATTGTGTTTACGTATCGGCCAATCTGCCGAAAGCCTTGACACCTTTCAAACGATCAGTGGTTACAGTATAGTCTGCAGTTTACACAGACGCGTAGTCACTAAATAAATGCTCACAATATTATGTACACAATATTATTGTATGTATATATTATTAACGACGTTCTGTGCACGTACTAAAAAACATAATTTTCCTGCTTTACGATGACGGTCGGCCATAGTGTTTTACTGCATAATAGATGCACATAGAAAAATTATCACACGTAGGTATACACACACCAAACGTTATCTTTTTTTTCGATTGAAAGAACGCGATAAAAAACATCGAGTGAATATCTTGCTTTGGAAAATGTTAGTAATATAAAAATATAGTACCTGGGTGAAATATTTTGTACTCCTATATTATTATTAATACAGACAGAGGGTAGATGTTTATATTTTTAACGACGGCGCCGCCTAACCTTTCGTTTTCGGCCGAGATAAAAAAATTATATCTTGCAGATTGCAACTGCAGCTGCGAGAATTCGTGCCGCATTATTTAAACGTATTATATTATAGATATAGGTACTATAAATATATTCAAAAGACGTTTTATTCTATTTGGAAATTTCTCCCTCCCCCCACCAGCATCACCATTTCACCGCTATCATCCTCTGGAGGCGAAACCTTAAGTCCAGAACATATATGGTCATCACACCATGTCCTCCTCCTGTATAAACAAGGGAAAATGGACAACTTCACTAAATAATAATTGCAACTTGTACGCCTAGCTCGGGACCGACGCGTTATTCTTGATTCGGTCACACCGCAAGACTTATTTCCACACGTCTTCCGGTTCCAAATTCCACGTGGTTAAACACAAAGTGACCTAAAACTTGATCGACTAATGGAAAACGACAACAACATTAACGAGTTGTTTGAACGTGTAGGTTTTTAGGATAGATCATACATACATACATAAATATACAAACACGGTACGTTCAATTGATAAGGATTTAGTCTGTCGACATACATTTTGAATGAAATAATCAAATTCGTTTTATGTAGACATAATAAAATCGGCAACGGTAAATAATGTGGCTATACACCAGTCTATTGTTACAGTGGTCTTTACAGATTTGAATAAATATCGTTTTTTGGGTGGTCAATACCAATAAGTATAGATAGTAACATAAAATTATCTTCTAAAAATTTCACACTTGTTGTCTCAAACATTCTATGTCCGTGATTTATGGGTAAACTGAACTATAGCGGCCGTTTACGGATTTTTTTTTAATCCATCATTTATACTAAACAAATAAATTTTTAATTAACACACGCATATTTGTTTATCAAACAGTTCATGCGTAATGCAGTTTAAAATGTTATTATGCGCGTTCCAACACTGATTAAGGTGAATTTTTTTTTTGGTCATAATTTCCTTAAAAAATTTATTACAAATAATAATAACGCAATATATACAGGATTTCGTTCAAAAAATAAAACAAGTTAAAAGTTAGTTTCTATTTAAAAAAGTAACAGCGTATATATATATATATATATTTACATCTGGGGCCGAGGTGATTTTTTTATTGCAATTAATTTGTACACATTTGTTAAAATAACAAAATAAAATAGTAGCTAGGTAAACTTGATTTTATGTAAGACGATGTATGAGAGAGGATAAAATTATACAAATAAAATAACTTTTTAAATGCACGAAAAGTTATACATATGTATTAAACTATATTATCGGGGTTTAATTCAAAATTATCTCATCGAGTATAAAAAAAAAAATAACTTGACTTCAACATAAATTCCCAACCTTGGGGTTTTACTACCTACATATGTGCATAAATAATATGTTTTAAAAGTTGCGTGTCTTTCAGACTCTCAACCAAGGCAGCGTGTGAAAACTTAAAATACGATTTGATTGTCTACTGTAATCAGTGGCGTGGCGAACTTCATTAAGTTATGAGGCACAGTTATATTGTCAGACCAACCACCCACTCCACCCATCACAAAAAACATTAAAACATTTTTTTAATATAAAATATATTTATTCATTTAAATAATAATGCTTTTTTTAACGCATTAGATGATCTTTGAGGACACCCACCACCCCTCAAACTGAGGCGCGCGCATCAAATATAGTCCTTCGTCACGCCACTGACTGTAATGTATTTTATACGATCCAATATATTACCTCTTAGTCGAATATAAATCACGTCTGGAGAATTAGTCGATACGTTCGTGGGATCAGCGGTCACCTGAAATCAAATTAAATACAAATATTATTTTACCGTTTAAAAATGTCCATCATCCACCTTAAGAGAATTGATGAAGAATATGGCATACACATTATAGTTAAATGTTATCGAATTATAAACTAAACATTTATACGCACACGTCGACGTCATGCAAATCATATGTAAATATTTATTTTCCAACATTAATACGACGCACCTACTTGAAATAAAAAGTATGATATTTTCAATGTTTTAATTTGACGGAAAATATTGTCGTTAAAATCAGCAGATTTTCGTTGCATATATAAATACATAATCATATAACTTCTATAATATTTTATATATTATACATAACACATCATACATCACGTAGCGTTTATAAAATATTTAGATAATATGGTGTTTATTTTTATTCGTAAATGTAATCTTTTTAAATATTATTTATATTGAACTAAATCGTATTTACGGGGTTAAATTTACCAATAATGAGTTTCTTAGATAGCAATAATAGGTAACTATTATATTTACTATTAAAGAAACAAAGTTGTATATTATGAACAATATTATCCATTTAAATAATATTATTTATATGATAGGTATTCTGAGAACAATGAGTCAAAACTATGGTTTTTTGATGAACCAATAAAATAAAATTTATAAAATATAATCGCATGCTGCGAGTATTAGCTAATAACTAAACTTAACATTCTATTATATACTACCATAAGTACCTCTTAATTATAGGTCTATTTTAGTATCTGATCCATCATACAAAAACTAGTAGTCTTATCTATTTTTTAGAACTGTTTTTAAATCCATATTAAATATATATAAGATTAATCGAAATAAGATATTTAAAAAAAAAAAATATTTTAGTAATCAATAATCAAAGGAATCAAAAAACAACATTGGCAACCAAACATTTTTAAAAGACAAAAAGTTCAACATGAGAATTTAATTTATATAACATGCGAGCAAACTGGAGAATGAGTAGGTAATAAATTAATGAAGATGTGAAACGGTTGCACGAGAATAAAATATTCGAAAGGAGTGGCTCTGAGTGCAGGATAGGAATAGATTACTATATTTATAGATAATTCATCATTATGAATAGATCAATGACAATGATTTAGAGATAAAAAAAAAAAAAAAAACGGTAGATGATTTGATGCGAACAAAAGACATTTTGTCGCTTTCCCAGCAAAATTTAATATTTTATTTCAGGGTGGAAATAAATGAAATATGCCAAATGGTGGTCGGCAAATCTAGACGTATTTAACCAGCGATTTTAAAACATGGGTTCACAAACCATACATACGTAAACTTGTTGTTTAAGTATTTCCATCGTTTATTCATTAAGTACTCGAAACCAAGATCACAAAGATGCAGGTTACGTAGTTTCGATTATAACTACGATTTGGTGAGTTAAAAACGAAGTTTATTTGTCTTTAAAATAGCAGTGTTTTTATATATATATGACATGTTCTCTTAGGTTGTAATATTTATTCAGTCAACAGCTTTAATTAAACCGACTATATAGTTGGCCGGATGACAAGGCTAGTGACTAAAATACAGACAACCATTCCACAGATGTTACACGCTTCAAAATCTATCAAACCGACAAAGTGGGTGATAATTTGATCCTTTTAAATTTAAATAATTATAGAAACAATAAGTTAATTTTATGATCAAACAACTGTTTCAAAAACTAACGCATTGTATATCTCGTTTGCCAAGTATTTAACGATATTCGAATAATAACAGTATTTACTAAACCACGTTTTCAAGAAAATTGCAAATTTCAAGTAAAATCATATACTCTGCACACTATTAAAACATAGTCCTGTTTGGGTTGTTGAATAACAACAAAATTTTAAGTACAATATAAGTATACAACATTTACGACTCGAACAGTATGCATATATGTATAACATTCACGTAGTCATTATTCAAATATTGACGTGGTAAATTGATGTCGTGATTACGTTCTACAAACATTTGAAATATTTCAATCTTATACACTTACGGTATGTTATAATGCATAATATAGGTATTGATATGGCTTTGGTATATGAGTATACGACGAATATAATGTTGAAGTCTAGGGAACAGTAAACAAAATGTCCGAAATTTCGTCAAATGTATATTTTTCGTGTGACGAGAAAATCGTATAAAGCAACTTTAGACTGTACACGGATATCTATACAAATCGAAAGAAAAAACCGAACGGTACGTCAAACCTACTGTACCTTAAATAGGTACCTATAAATTTCACAAGCAATAACAATTAATACATTGTAGTGTAGGTACCAATAATTATTACCAAGCCACCTTCGCTTGTTCGATAATTGCGAAACGTAAACAAACGAAGTTATTGTTATTGCTTACACTGGGACAGTATATTTATTTACTACTCTCATTCTTGTWAATTATTTACACAACAAGTGAAAGTGGACAAAAATAAAAATGATTTTGCATGAGATGAACGATTTGTAATTTTATTTATAAAGTAATATTGGTCGATATTTAAATTATTATTATATTATTTAAATTTATTACACACCCTAATTAATATTGTTTTAATGACACAAAACATTTATTATTCTATTAAATTGCTATTTACAAACATATCATAACTTAATTTTAGTTAAGTAAGACTTCTAGCAAATTATAGCAACCATTTCTTTTATGATTTATACATTTAGTGTATACGAAAATTCAACCTTTCTTGTTAAGACTATAATATATGTATGCATAAGAAGTAATAACTTTATAAGCATTAATATAAATATATATATTTTGGAAACATTTCAATTATTTGTTTTATAGTTAAAGACCTACATTATATTATTAGAGCGAAAAAAAAATATGTATTATATACATCATGCTATTTTTATTTGATAAATCACTGTGAAAAGATCCCCGTATTTTTATTTGTTTCTGAAGACAGACATATATAAAAATAAAATATATTGTCATGAATATTTAAACACATTCATTACATATATATACTGCTGGACCAGCTATCATTTTTTTTACTTCCCTATGCTTTTAAAAGTACCTAGTCTTAACACTCTTAATAGAATTTTAACAACTAAACATGTAACATTACAACTATGGTCTCCAATGGATTAAAAATGTATCTCATACAAATCACAAATAAATGTGAATAATTAAATATTTGGAAATTTAGAGATGTTTTATTCAATTTGGACGTTTAAGCATACGCAGAAATTCTTCAGCGGCGCACGTTTTAATGGAGGCGCTCAACGGTTCAGTGACTTCCTGTGATCAATAACCTGCTTCTGAACCATCGTTCGAGTTTGACAACTGAATGCGAATTGATGGATATGCTGATTGGCCCTTGTGGGTATTTTCATAATTTATGGACCCCCGTCGAATAATGAAAAATGTCTCTTGGGTGTCTCGGGTCAACACCAATAGCGTTAATTTCGTGAAATCGATCTTAAGTACAACACTATGAGACATGAAGCTATATGATGAATATCTATAATATTTTAAATCATAATCGAACATTTCAGATATACTATAATAATCGGGATCTCCTACATATTGTAACGAAATTGGCTTTGGAAAAATGTACCTCATAAAAGACAAAACGATCCACAAGCTACCTCAATAATTGGACTGTGCGTAATAATTATAAAATAAATGTACACACTGAATAATATTCAAAAATTAGCCTTAACAATTTTTAATAAACGAGGAGAAAACAATGTGTTTGGAGATTCAATTAACTGAAGCTGTAACATGTTAAACCCTATGAATGTAAACAACATTTAATGAGATTGTTTCAGGAAAGCAGCTGGAAAATAATTGAAAACAACGGAAACAATACCATCTTCTTCACTTTCGTTAACAAGTTCTCAAACAAAAATTCCAATATTTTTTTTAACATATATTTTAATCGCTCTGTTTTATAACAACACTACCTACCAAATTGTAAAAATTAATTTTAGTTGTAAAACAATGAACATTGAATTTTAAATATTGTATAACAGTGTTTTTTGTTTAATGACGTGATATATATTTTTAAAACAATCGAATAATTAATCGATAATCGTTATTGTTATAAAGTTTTGACTTATAACTTAAAAATATTTAATTTTTTTTTATTTTATAATTAGAAGTAAGGCATCAACGTCACAGTTCATCAGCCTAGTAAAAATTACAAGTAAAAAAGAGAGAAAAAATTTCAAACTATATTGAGACTTAGACTACGGAAAAAGCTTTGTACATTGTTAAGATTTGTTTGTGAGATTAATTTTGGTGAAAAATGTAATAATTTTAGGGATGTTGTTTTCATTGTGTGCTTCTTCCATATTCGGTGGTATTATTGCTAGGTTGTTTCTTATGTTCAGGTACTTCATGCAATCTAGGATGATGTATTGAACTGAAAGATCAGCGTGGTATTCGTTACAAGGGGGTGAAAGGATTTTGATAATGAAAAACAAGTGAGTGTCCGATCTTGCATCTTGTGATACAACTTCCTATCGTTAATAAGTCCAAAGTTGCAATCACAAGATGCATAATCAGACACACTCATTCAAAAATTGTATTTTATCGAATTTAATTTTTTCCATGAGGCGATTTAATAATATATAATATCTTCTATAACAAAATATTTTATTTAACTTTATTTATCTTTATTTTATCTAATAAAATACATCTAGAGTTATTACAATGCAATCGTCTTAGTTTATTTTGATTTTAATTTCCTTAACATATAAATATCAATCTTACATTCATGTCCACTATATCTACTTAACAATGTTTATGATTTCATAAAAAACATATAAAAGCTTAACTTATTAATTATAAAATCAACATTTTCAACCATTAAATTCACAAAAATAAAAAATAAATTAAAATCATTTAATTTATGAGTTAATAAGTCGATAATTATGTTGAGTTGCCAACATATATTATCGTTTAATCATTCATCTGATAGCTTGTTTTAGGATTGGTGATCACCAGAGAATTTATGTGAAACAGCTCGC